ATATATATATATATATATATATATATATATATTGTATATTCAGGTCTAGAGTCACTGAGTTTTTTGTAGGTATGACCCTGCTCTTGTTAAATCAGTGGAAGAAGCAGGCAGGCGGCGCTCAAGATGCAAGTTCGTTTTGCTTTAATTCTAGCATTTCTGACTGAGGTTCCTTTACATATTCATTTTGTTCTATTATGACTTTGAGAGTTTCAAGCTATAATAAACCCTGATGAACGAAAGTTTATTTTTTGATCAGAAATTTTTTTCGGACTGCTAGTTTTCTACATGGTTAATTCTTAGTTGTTTACTGTTGCTGAATCAGGTGCTTTTCTTCTGGCGCTCGAAAGCGAAAAATCTTCCATGAGAGAAAAGGAGATCATTATAAATGCGTTCGATGACTGGGAAGTTTTAACTCCAACGTGGTTCGAAGTTGCCGATTATATACATTATATTGAACAGCTATATGAAGACGAAAAGTTTAAAGAACGTTTTCAAGCGGCATTACTAGCTTCAAAGGCATTTTTTTATTAATTATATTCTGTGCAAATTAATTAGTAGGGTTTATGAAAAAAGTTTTCATTACTGTATGATTTAAATGGAAAATAAGTTGCAAGTGTAAAAGTCTGTTGCGAAAAGGTTCTTAACGTTAGATTGATGCAAAAGTTTCTAGATTTTCTGGTTTATCTGTTTGCACAACTTATGAAGATGAAAAGGCTTTTATTACAAAATGTTATGCTTAGAAGGCTGTAGTATCTCTGTACATACATCTGAGACAAGGGCAATGCTCTGTCGCTAATTTGGTACCTTAGAGCCTCTGGAGCGACAGGACTTCGTTATTTTTTTGTAACTACAGCAGTGCAAATAGTGCGTGGTTTGCTTCTTTGATTTGGTTGAAAAAGATTTGTTGTTAGGCACGGATCATTTGATGACATTGTTGGATCTGAATATTTACTAGATAAGGATTGCTTTCTTGGGAATAGTGGGTTACTATACTGAAGTGCAGTATTAGAGGACAGCTTAATAATGGCATTTCTCTTATCTTTCTTATCCGTGAAATACTAGCACCGATAATTGGTTCATGAAGCAATTTTTTTCTAGTCTCAAGAATTTATCGCAAATATGGTCTACTAAAGATTGCTTCATTTAGAACAGAAATATTTCCCTTGTTTCATCCACACCTTTGATTCTTCATTGACAAATGGCCATTATTTCTCCGCTTTAGCATATTTCTCAGTAGAAAAGATTCTTTAGAAATTTGGTAGAAGTTACTTTGCGAATTTCTTGTCTCGAAAAATTTTTGTTATAAAGGCAGCATGATTTACTCTCTTGGTTGAAAAAGGCGATTCTTTGTGGTCAGAATTACATCTGGTTTATCCTTCTCTGCCCAGGCATTATTTCCTTCTACGTTTAATTTAAAACTCTTGGACTTTGGGTCACATCGACTGAAGACGAGTTTGGAAGGTTTTTGCATCAATCTGGCGAAAGGATAAAAATATGTTCAGAAAGTTTAACGAGAGAAGTTTTTATCATTTTTTTTGATTTTTAAGGTGTACTACTGTTTGGGAGATTACGACAGTGCTTTACAATACGCTTTGGCTGCTAAAGACAAGTTTCAACTTTCACCTAGACCATCGTCATCTTTAGTTGGTTCGCAAGACGAACAGGTATTTTTTTATCCAATTTTTCATTTTTATGAATGAATTATGACTTTTGGCTTTATAGTTCAATAACTTCACAACAGTTTAATACTTTATAAAAATTCATCTACTTCTCAGGTCTTCCTAATACAATTTTATAGTACATCTTCTTCACTTCAGTATGTAAATAAAATGATTGAACACGCACTGGACATTTACAAGAAGAGCAGACGGACGGAGGAACATGTTGCTCCTCTAGAACGTTTAGTTGATCGTATATTTGAGAGGAATATGAAGCGAAAAGAGCTGCGTTATGTGATTGGTTTGGCCCTTGATACACGTCGTATTGATATGATTCTTAAGGCGGTTAAGGTTGGTTTACGATTATGTTTGAATGCGACGTAGTTTCTTTCTTCAGGTCTGCTGAATTTTATTACAGGCAGCTGACGACAAGGCAGTTTTGTTGGCAGAAACCGCTGCAAAAGTTCTTGAATCTCAATTAGACCGACCTTTTAGAAGCACGGTATTGGATCTTTTATTAAAGCTATTTTCCGAGCAAGATGAGCCGGATTTTGTTGCAATGTGTCAGTGCCTAATCAGGTTAGAAAAACCTGTTGACGTAGCTGACATACTAAGCCGTCTTGCAGGTAGTAAGGTATGTTTGTAATTCTTTCTGATTTTTACTGCTACTGATATAAATGTATAAAAGTATATTTTTGAAAATACACGGTGGTTATGAAATAGTAGGCGCGTTCAAAAATTTATCTCACATATTTTCCCTTTAAATTAGCGAGTGATGCAAGCTTTAGTTTAGAATATATGAATTTCAAACAACTCACAGTTTAATTTTTGTTATCTGGAAGTCGATACTTTTCTGAAAAACATAATTCTTTTTCTTTCAACGAAGTGTGGGCCTCTTTCTGGGTCTTTGTATTTTTTTTAAAGCTAAATGCATTTGAAAACTAGTAGTGTATTTAAACCTGCTAATTCGTTCCAAGAGGTAAGGCGAAAAATGTACTCTTTAACTGAAACAAGAAATGGTTAAGTTTGTTTTTTCCGGTTGAAAATATTGTGTTTGATATCTTTTTTAAACACTAATTTATCACTTAGGAACCATAGTCTCCAGTAATTTGAAGTACATTGAAACTTGAATGAATTTTTTAATGGTAGTTGGACTAGTGTGTGATGACCAGCTAGTAATACGGTCTTAGAAAGGGAGGAAGAAAAGTGATAATGAAGATCCATTTATCCGGTCTATTCTGTCTAGTGTACTTTGAAGCGATATTTCCTTAAAATTTTCTCTTCGCGGGTGAAGGGAAGGAATCAAAAAAGCATTTTCTCGGTCAATTTTGAGAAAAAAAAACAGTTTATGGTTTTGAAATTTGTTGAAGGGACGAGTTTATGATGGACTTGTTCATTGTTTCAAAAACAGTCCTATGAACAATCCAAATTCCTTTTTGAGAACATTACTTTCAAGATGGTGATTACTAAAGGGAAGCTATTTATGTTCGGGGAATGGTAGTGAGAAAATGATTGTTATTTTAAGCCGTGAAGAAGATGCTGTTTAAGTCTTTGGATTTATGCTGTTTGATGGTGAATGCCGCTCAATATTTCAGGGTGACAATGGTGTATTGTTAGCATATCAGATTGCTTTTGATTTATATGAAAATGCTTCCCAACAATTTATAAACAAAATCGAGAAAGCGCTTCTTGGTGAGGACCCTACAAAACATCGAGCTTCAGGCGATGGTGATGCCTCTACTTCGGAAGAAAAGTTTGATATTTTTTTTCTTTTTTTTTTTAAACATAATTCTTGAAGATATAATTGTGGTCGCCTTTCTTGATATTCTTCTCACATTGTCCATTAGAAATTAAGGTTTTAGACCAGCCGAAGAATCAGAAGAACTTATGGAAGTAACAAGTTCTGTAGCGGACCCCATTTATGGGGACTCTGAGTAAGTTGAGTTATTGATATCATGTATTTAGTAAAGGTGTCTCCGTTTTACGTTAGTTTATCTTGTGAACTACAAATTTTCAATGACTGGTTCATTTATAAATAATTCATGCCGATTTACCACTGAACAAGTTTTCGTTTGTGATGTCCTAATTTTCAGCCCCTTGCTTGAACCTTCAACAGCATCGAAGAAAAACGCTTCTTCAACAACAGAAGGTGTCACTGCTCCAAAGATTGTATGTATTGTTTGTTGGAAATAATGAATTTATATAAAATCTCATTTTTGCGGTTGTCAACTTCTTTTTTAGGAAGGGATAGTAGGAGAACGTTTACGTTCAATCTTGCGTGGAGAACAGACTATCAAGCATCATATGCAATTCCTAATAAAAAATAACCATACAGATATGTTGATATTAAAACAAATGAAGGAAAGTGTGCGAACTGCATCAGCGCATAACGCTACGGTGATTGCGAATGGTCTTATGCATTTAGGAACTACTACTGATGACTTCTTGAGGTAACGATTTTGTTTTTCTTCAACAACATACTTATTGTATATCATACAAATAACGTATGATTAATAAGCAGTTAATGTTTGGTACTTTTTGAAATTTCTTTTTCAACTTAGTTTGTTGTAATATTGTAAGTGCTGCTTTTAAATAGTATTAAGTTTGTGAAAGTACTCTAATTCTGCAAGAAGTTGAAAGTATCTGGTGATTACTCTGTCACGCAAGTGTATTTTGTCAGTTGCAAAATTCCTGAACGCATTTTGTAATAAATACTTGCAAAGTATAGGGTTCAAGAATTTTACCAAATAAAAATTGAAGCAGGGTGAATGGTTCGTCATCTACATCAGGTCATAAACTTGACTTATATTCTGTCTATGTTAAATGTTTTTAATGAGGTCTAAAAATTAAACATTTTTTGTGTTGTTATGGTAGAAATCTCTGTGCGGAGTCTTAATATAGTGCTCTCATATTATTTCTTCAGGGACAATTTAGAGTGGATCAGTAAAGCTACAAATTGGAACAAATTCAATGCTGTGGCTTCACTTGGCTTAATACACAAAGTAAGGATAAATTTTTTATTTTTTAAATATTATTGAAAGTTGATTTTATCTTCATTTTGAAAAGGCACCATTCTTATGGAACTCTTGAATAAACTGTTTGAGGTTTCCTAATTTTTGAAGGAGGAAAATTTGCAAGCTTTTCTTTTTAATTGGTGACAAGCATAAAAGTTTTTATAAATTATTAAGGGGCATGAAGCTAATGCACAAAAATTGCTTGAACCGTATCTCCCTCGTGGCGAACAAGACCAGTTTGGTTTCAAGGAAGGCGGCTCATTGTATGCTTACGGTATATTTTCGACTTTTTGATGCTCTTAATTGCCTATTGCATAACTAGTTACAAGATACTAAGTTTAGGTCTTATACATGCTAATCACGGTAATGAGGAAGTAGTAAATTATTTACGCGAACAGCTTGGTCGAGGAAGTACATCTGCAGTTCGACATGGAGCGTGTTTGGGACTGGGATTGGCAGCTATGGGTACATTTGATGAGAAGGCAATGATTTTTAGTACTTGGAGTCAGCGGGAAACTACTGATTTCTCAGAACTTGACAGTTTTGAAAATTAGGTTTCTTTTAGGTATATGCGCAGCTTCGAGAATGCTTATACCAGGATGATGCAGTAACAGGTGAAGCGGCCGGACTGAGCATGGGACTGGTCAGTGTTGGCGGTCTGCAACATGCAATTTTTGAAGATATGGTGCAGTATATGTGCGAAACTCAGCACGACAAAATTCAGCGTGGTTTAAGAACTGGAATCGCTTTATTGGCATATGGTATCTAAACTTTTTAAGAAGTTTTTCATTACATATTTATTGTTCATCGGTTTACGTTTAAGGTAGACAGGAAGAAGCAGAACGTTGGGTAGAGCAATTGATGGAGCATAAATCAAACGCAATGCTTCGTTCGACTGCTGTTTGCATGTTAGCTATGGCATATGCAGGTTCTGGAAAAGCAGATGTTGTCCGTCGTTTGCTGGCAAAAGTTGCTGCAGATCCTAATCAGGATGTTAAACGATTTGCGGTGATTGCAATTGGGTTTGTACTGAGCAAGTAAGTCATTCTTGTTTTGCATGATTTGATTCCTTTTTTTTTTCAGTTAAAGGTACAACTTTTATTGATTTATTGAAACAGTTTAATCAAATTTGAAGTTTTTCACAAGAACGCGTACTTTTTGTAAAATTGTTGTTTTGCACTATTCAGCACCATATTTTTAGATTTCTTAACGTCTAATCTACATCTCTTTTAGAAAAGTCTTCAGGTCTTCAATGTGTTGCTTTTGTCTTCATTGCTTCATGTCATTAATGCTTATCTTTTTAAAAATTAGAATAAGATACAACTCGATTTTTGCACAAGTAACCGCTATCTTTTACTTTTCTGACTGGCCCTGTAGATAAACTTTTCATTTGTAGGTTTTCCTACTTCACACTATTTCAAATATATTTTTAATGAAACTCCCAACTTCTGTTATCTAAAAAACCAGAAGTTTTTATTAAAAACTACAATTATGAAAGTCAAAAAGTTATTTACTGGTAGAGATAGATATCGAATTTCGGTTGCTGGTATAAAACTTTTTGGCTTTATAACTGAAAAGTGGCTCACTGAAAGTTATTTAACTAATGGTTTATTTGAACCTCTTCAAGGAGCTCGCTGACGTAACACTGTTTGTGGAGTGGAATAGAGCTCATAAGAAAATTGTAGAGATGCCTCTTCAAAATTTGCTGTAGTTTTTTGTGTACTTGGTTAGTAAAACATAACTTGGTTTTCGCTTTTCAGTTGGGGAGCCATTGATTTATGATTTCAGAACCGATGCTTTTTTGTGTATTGTAGGTTTAGTTCAAGTCTGGGTTAATTTGTACTACTAAAGATCAGATTTTTTGAATTAGTTTAATTCTGTTACGTTTTATATTAGGTTAGTCTAGGATTTTTTAAGGGAATCAGGACTTTCTGCTATTTTGAATTCTTCCTCTCTTTTGACATTCTATGATAGTCTCCTCTTATATGTTCTTAAAACCAAATGTTTAAAACTACCCAGAAAGATCTTTGTTGGGCAGTAAAAAAGTTATCTTTTTTTTAAAAACCAAAACCGAAAGAAATAACTGCAGTTTTTTAACCTTTCTGGCACGGAAGGTAGTTTCTCAAATTAGTATTGTGAAAGGAATTTTTGACCTAGTTTTATTTCTTTTTTGATTATCAATCTTTTTATATTTTTGAAGGTTTACCATCTTTTCAACCGTTTTTTGTTTTTTCAAGAAATTAGTTCACTATGAATTTAAGAGGGATACGGAATTTTTTCTTTCTCTTAGTCTACTATGAATTTAAGAAAAAATGGAATTTTCTCTTTCTCGTATTTTCCGGTATCAAGGCTTCTTTTTTGGCATTGAAGAATTGTTAACTGATGGAGGCAAAAATATTTTAATGCTTTTTTGAGCCATGAAAAATTGTAATTGATTGAAAGAGCTGTTTCAAAGGGGAGAGTTTTTCATTTTTGTATCACTTTCTTATTCATTTTTTTTTTTTTGTTAGGGATTTCAAGTTTTTCTGTTTTTATCTACTTATAGGCTGCTGCGGAATTCTTACAACAGCTATCAACAAATAACTTTTTTATTTTGATTTTTATTATTTCTAACAGACAACTAATACGTTTTAAAATAGTCACCCGAATTTTCACGTAGCGTTTTGCTGTCAGATCACAAAAAAGTTTCTTGCATTGGTGTCTCGTTGATGTCGGCTAAACACGACTGCCGTATATGGCTGTTTAAAGGTATAGTCGCAGAGGAGAATCCAAAAATTGTTTGTGATTTCCTGCATACTCTTCTTTTAGGCACTTGTTTTTTCACGCATCCTTGTGCGCTAAACTAGAATCTTCTTTAAGTCTAATTATGAAGAAATCTTAAAAAATTTACTACTTCTTATAAAATCTACGCAGGTGTCTCAGTCATTCGATTTTATTTATCAACAAATTTTATATAATTTTTATTGTGATGCGAAAAAAAAGGCGTCGACTTTATTCTGCTTTTGTCTTCGCTAGTTACTTGATTAAAATAACTTTTATATGAGCTTTTTGAACCATAGAACAAGCTTTTTACTATTTTACTTAAAAGATGAAACGTTTTTGGGGATTAAGATATGGCCTCATTGTGTGGATTCCAATTACAACAGCAAAGATTGTTCTTTTCAGTCTTATTTTTTTAGGTAAAATAATTTTCTGTTG